CTATCTATCTATCTATCCATCCATCCATCCATCCATCCATCCATCCATCCATCCATCCATCCATCATATATGTATATGTATACATACACACACATACACACACACATATACACACATCTATATATACATACACACACAGACACACATATATACATACACACACATATATAGTATGTATCTTAGTGTATGTGTATACACACACATATATATCAAGAATAGTACTTTTTTAAAAAGTATCTGTGCCCACAGCAATAAACTTAAGTAACTGAGTAATTATTCCCCCCTGTTTAAATAACAGCCTCCAATGTAAACTAATTTCTTTGCCATCCAGACTCTCTTAATTCCCAGAGTTCATGGAGAGTCAAACCTCAGAAGAAGAAGGACTGCTTCTGTCTTGTCCACACGGTAGGGAACTTTGTCTCCCTGTCCAATCTCCAGTTGTTTGGATTTGGTTTGGTTCCCTCTTTGAACAGTTAAGGCTTGGGAAGAAACAAGCAGCATTGTGGACTTCCAAGAGACTTTCCTCACAGTTATGTTCTTTCCTTCTCTTTCTAGAAGCTGTTTACATGGGACCAGAGCAAACACGGGACCTTTTTCCGGCCTGTGATAGCAGCAGGGAGATTCCCAAGGCTGCCCAATGGCCAGAAGGCTGGAGAAAACAAAACAAAACAGAAGGCAGCCTAGCTCAGCGATCCCAATTCTCTTTTGGCTCATAGCCGAATGGGGAGGCTAATCTGGAAGCAGCATCCAGAGTAATAGTAATAATTCTTTGCAAATCTAGCCATAACAGAGAAGTTTACAAGGGCACTTATTGGCGAGGCGCAGTGGTGGGGAGTGCTCTTTCCCTACATTTACACAATTGCTTTGGTCCAGCACCCTGCCCGCTGAAGTCCCTATTTATGAAAGGAGGCTCCAGAGCAATCAGATGTAGCTGCAACCATTGCTACAAGCCACAGAGGATTCCTTTGGAGCCATCAATAAATGCACACCTTTTGAATTCCATGAATCTGTTAACTCACTCCTGCATATAAGGCTATTTGAAGAGGCCTTCCCTATTTAAAAGGTTGCATGAAGCTTTTTTCTTATTGTTGAAATGGTGGTTCAGTGTTAATGTCCATTGTTGTATTTCCCAGTAGTGAACCATCCACATTAGCAAGGTATTAACTGGACAGCGAATACAATAATATGCTATGCCTATGTTGATTTATTTATTAAGAATTGCGTCATACAGAGCTTTATTTGGACATCTCCATAGGATTAGCTGAAATCTCAATGAGATTGAGAAAATCAATAGTCCGATTTTTGCATCTAAGCAAATTGGACAGCAGAAGCTTTTTTCCAATGGCTATATATTTCATCAGTAATGGAAAATTGGTGCTTTGCACTCTAATGAAATCATATTTTTATTGCAATGATAATCACTTCCTTCAAAGCGCTTAGAAGGACAGTGGACTGCAGTTATTTCATCTGTATCACTTCTTGAAAAACTTATAATGACCACCAAGCCAAACATCACATTACTTTGAACATTACAGAAGAGCAGGAAAAGTGGCACAGCAAAGCTTAAGAGAACAAAATTAAGAAGTGGAATCATGCAGACTTTAAACAGAAGTAGAGGTCAGACAGCTAAACACCAGGAAAGATTATCATATTGAACCATTATTGTCTGGCCTAGGACGCCACCAAATGGAAGCAACAGGATGGAGATGTAAGCTTCTTCCTTCTTATTTGGCCACTGGGAGTCCAGGAAATGTTCTCCAATAATCCTCCATCAAATGGCTTCAGCGAAGATAAGGTGACAGCTGCAACTTGGAGGGACAGACGTGTCTCCTGGTAGAAAAGAACAGCAACAAGAATGGAGCCGCAGAGGCAGTGGCAGCTACTTCAGGTTTAGGGCTGGGTTTCCTTCTCCAAAGAGCCTCATAGACCCTTTTTCATTCTCCAGACAATGGAAATCTGGAGAGAGAAAGCGAGAATGAAGTGCATAGGTAATGTTCCTTTTGGGAGAGGAGCAGTACTCCAAAACAAAGGGAGAATTTGTACATAAAAAGTAGATACCCAGTCAGGGCTGCAAAAATTGGGAGGACCACTGGATGGCAGCAGGGAGTTGGAGTTGTATTGCTTTGCTGCCATCTAGTAGTTTCTGGATGTTTGCATTCCATATTCTGGTAGTCTAAAAAATATGTGCCGACCCTGATTTGATTAATATATGGATGCATATTACATACATGGAAAGAGCTAAAGTATTATAAACATTCCTTCTTTCATACAAAGAGCACTTCATACAAATCTAATGGTTTTTGGCAAAATAATCAATCTCAAATTGTACGGTAGACTGAGTGGGGGAAGCTTGGGGTGGCAGCAGGGAATTGTAAAGCTTTGAACTAAAATTAAAGGAGAAGAACATTTTATATAGGAAACTAGTTTTACTATATTAGGGAAACTCCCAATCAATCTGCGAGTGAGGCCCTAGATTTCTGCCCTGTAAATACCACTTAGGAGAAAACAATGGTGGCATTCAACCAGTTTGCACCATTCTGGGAGAACCAGTTGTTCACTTTCTGAGCAGTTTGGCAAACTGGTTGTTGGAAAAAATCATTAGGGCAGAGAACCGGTTGTTAAATTATTTGAATTCCACCTCTGGAACCAAACAATAGACAGTAATAGCATGTATACTTTCAGATTAATTTACAATTGCAGGGTAAGGAGCCCATCCAGAATGAATCTAGATAAGCTATGGTGGGCATGAATAGAAGAATGCAGGTCGCATCCAAGCATCCTATTGTGTTTGCAAGAGAAAACAAACCAGAAAACTACTGTACCAAATCAGTTTATTGATCCAGTTAAGTCAGGGTGGCTGAAAAAATCCAGCAAAAATTAAATCAAAATTCAATAGTGATTTTCATATAGTCATAATGTATTACTTTCAATTTTTGCTGGATTGTGGAAATTAAAAATTAATAATATGTGTATTGGTACTTCAATACAGAAGAGATATCAACTCTCTGCAGTCTTAAAAATGCATTGCAAAGTTCAGTAACTTTGGCAATCTTCAGAAAAATATATACCTGCAGGCAGGGACTTCCTTACTACTGATGTCTGTGAGCTGCTTTGGTTGCCTTTTTTGTTTTGGCTGAAGAACAAAGCATAAATCCTTGCTTTTTTTTCTTTTATTAAAGAAACAATATAAGACAACTAAATAATCCATTGTTAGAAACAAAAGTAACCTCAAACAAAAGAAAGAAAAACAAATGCTTGAAAGTACATATCCATTTATTTATTTGAATGACAATTGAATTTAGGATGCATATCCCTAAAAGAAAGAGTGGACATTTATTTACTGGTGGACAGGTGTGTTTGTGTATACCAGAGATAAAAATATATGTGCAGCTTCCTGCTTCGTCACCTTAAGGTTGGTATCTGTAAGTTCAGTTGAAACAAGTCCTGGATATTTATTTGTGATATATATTATTTGTAAATGTACTGTATATCACAAATAAATATATGGGATAAGTGGAATGGGGAATTACAGAATTAGAAAAAAGGTTAAAATTAACGAGATGAGCAACCATTTCCAAAGGGTGATTAATTTTTAAATGTTTTACTTTTCAGCGGGGATGTTCACAGACTTTTGCAGTTTTGCATATTTCATTGTTTTTAGCAGCATCATCTCTTAGCAATAGCAATAGCAATAGCAGTTAGACTTATATACCGCTTCATAGGGCTTTCAGCCCTCTCTAAGCGGTTTACAGAGTCAGCATAT